CCAATGGAAAGAAGAAACAGGAAAGATGGCCGAGTCCAGACAGACTTCCCAGACCGGCACACTCATGTGATTTTTTTCAAGGTCAGCAGTCAGAACCCCCTAATCAGATTTTTCCATCCTTCTACAAAGCTTGGAAAGTGCCTCACCTCCAGTGGGGCTGCCTGGTAGGGTCCACCCAGAGCATATACATACACGGCCTGAACTTGGCCATGTCCAATTCAATGTGTGGTTAGAATAACCAGGCAGGAATGCATCTATTTTGACAGTGCCTTGTTCTCTATTTCATGTGGGTGACCCTTGTCTCTTCTCTCCAATAAGACCGCAGCTGGAAGGGCCGAGCCTCATCCTCCTTCCCCCAGTGGGTGCCCTCATGGGCTCAGGAGGAGCACGGACCCACACGGGCCCTTCTCAAGTGCCTGTGCCCTGGACTGTGTCTAGGTTTGCACTCTCCTACATCCCTAGCACTTAGCACAGTGGAGGGCCCAAATCTGGTGCTCTGGACACCCATGAAACACTCATTAAAAGTCTTGTTGAGCTGAGTCAAGTTGCCTGCTGTGCCAAGGGCATACTGAGCAAACTCTTTGAGCGTTGTGCTTCTGACCTTGGATGCTCACCGTCAAAGCAGCAGAGTTTCCCCGGGGGACCCTGTGACCCTGTGACCTAGGCAACCCCTAATGGCTTCCCCTTTCCACCCATCCTCAAAGCCAGTCCCTCAGGCTGCTGACTCTGCCTTGTCCCTGAGAAGGCATTGGCACTGTCTCTGTGGCCCGTGTGACACAGTCCATGTTAGGACGGAGAGTCTCTGCTGCTGAGTCCTCTTCTCATGGTCCCATCAGTTGGAGTCACTTGGGACAAGAAGCTTTGTTCGGCAAATTTCCTGTGGGGGCAGGACCTTCTGTAAGAGAACTCTGGACCAAAGTCAGAGCCCCCCAACCCCCACCCCCTCGCTGCAGCTTCACATACACACATGGACAAGGCTTAGCATGGGGACAGCAGAGTGTTGCATCCTGTGGGTGCCAGAGATTGAGAGGGAACAGCGGGCTTGGTCGGGGCAGAGGGAGTGTGACCAGAATGGCCATTGGGAGCTCCGGTTTTCCTCCTGGTACCTGGGGCCGGGACACTCGTTACTGGATAGTGGGACTGCTAGCAGGAACAGAAAACCGAGGCCCGGGCATCTTTAGTGGGATCTGTGGAACCCTTCCAGGAGTCCAAGCCTGGGGCTGGGAGCCTTGTGCAGTATTGTTCCTACTATTGCCATGGGGCCGGTCAGTCCAGGGAGGGGTCAGGTGCATTCTTGGCCTCAGGGACAGAAGGGCTCAAGCTGCCCAGAGATCTCTATGCACCTTGGGGGTAGCGGGGAGCATCCCCCACCGTGGGGCTGGGCCATCTTGACAAAGCTTCTCCCTCTGTCTCTGCACCTCTCACCATCTCCCTGCACCCCTTTAGAGGAAACCATTCACTGGGCCTTGGGGGCAGGGCTGGCCATGTTCCCAGCACACTCAGTGTTTGCTTCCAATCTAAGAAGGAGCCAGGCTCCCGGGCTGGGAACTCTTTCTCCTTGCCCCCTCCTTTTCTTTTCTTTTCTTTTTTCTTTTCTTTCCTTTTCTTTTCTTTTTCTGTCTCCTTCGCTTTACCCCCAACTACTCCCCCCAACCCCAAAAGCTTCCAAAGTGACACCATGTGGGCCCAAATCAAACCCTTGTCTTCAGGCCCTTGCTGGCATCTCTCCCAGATCACCCACCTTCCTCCTCCCGCTCTGCAACACAGCCACCCTCCTCACCCCCACCCCCGCCATTCCTCTTTGTGGACAACTTTCTAAATGCAGCCAAACTTCCCCTTTCAGTCCATGGGCCCCGCAAAACAGCTGCAAAAAGTCAGCAGCTCTGCAAAAGTTCTCTTGCAAATCGAGGCTGAGAGCAACACCCTTTGGCTCTAGCCATTGCTTCCCCCTCCCAGGCTCTGGAAGGCTAGCCTCCTCCCTCAGTAAACAGTGGGGAGACCCCCTGGTACACGCTCTCAGGGACACAATCTCCCCGAAGGTCTAATCTAGAGAGAACTTCCTGAGGGGCCCTGCAGCCCCTCCCAGTGGGAGGAGACAACCCAATCCTTGCCTACAGGCCTGACCTTGCAGAGCCCCGTGGGACCCCTGGCCGTCCACTTACACACTGCCCACACACGTCCACACACACAGGCTTCAGGTTTCTAGAATGAAAGGATGGATTGGCTGGTTTTCCGGGCCCCTTCCGAATCTAAAATGCCATAGATCTGTCATCTCTCCTTGGGGTACTCCTGCCCGAGAGAGAAGGGGCTTTGCCCAGGGACACAAGGCTAGCCGAGAGCTGTCTGACTGGAACCCAGCTTTCCTAAACTCCATCCCGTGCTCTCTCTGTGACACTCAGCCCTCACTAAAACAGTGGCTTTCACTCCTGGCCACTCATCAGAATCATATGGGGAGATTTCACGTCTTATCAGTCACCAGGCCTCACTCCAGAACAAGGAGATCAGAATCTCCAGTCGGGGCCTGGTTATCCGTCTGTTTGGAAAGTTACCCAGGCGATTCTGACCCAGCAGTCAGTCAGTTTAGAACCATTGCAGACAAGTCTTCTAGAAACTGAAGCTGAAGCTCTAAGCCAGAAGCACCTTCCTGCTCCCTTCCAGGTCCCCCGAGGCCTCCACATGCACTCCAGGGCACACGGCCCCCAGGACCGCAGTCCAGGAACTGGAAACCAACCTCAGTCAGAGGCAGGGGGCCCCGGGGGGCTGCTCCAACCCTCTGAGGGCTTTGTGTGGATTGAGAAAAGAAAAACAGAGAAGGGAAACTGTAGCAGAGCCGAATGCAGTGAAGGAGAAAAAGACAAGAGAAAGGGGAAGAGCCCTGAGGTCAGAGAGTCATGTGAATGGCATTTAGGGAACAAAGCCCCTCCACCATGCCCTCTGTCCCCCCCTTCATCAATCATCGGAGGGGGCCTGGTAAAATGCGCTCTTCCTCCAGCACTCAAGGCACAGAGGGCATCACAGCCCATAGAGACCTGGGACGGTACGTGCACAGCCAGAAATTTGCCCCTTCCGAGTCTGTGAGCCCTGCCAATCCTCTCCACGGGCAGAGCTAGCAAAGAGCCCTCGCTGTACCTCCTCCACTCACCAGAGCCGGGGGCTCCTGTCAGACATTTAGGCAACATCACTTGGCCATTTCTAGACCCGAATAAAGGCCAATCCAACATCCAAGACACCTGGCATCCCATCAAAGGGGTCCAGGAGGCGCCATGTGACCTCCAGCAAGCCGCCTCCCTGCCCTCACTGGGCTTCTGTGCCTGATCTGCAGGCACATTCAGGAAGATGCAGAGGCATATTCGGAAAGAAGGGATATGGCTGGAGGCGGGGTGGCGGGGAGGGGTTCAAGGGCCTGGGCTCCAGGGCCAGAGGCCTGGGCTAGTGTCCTGGGTGCTCTGCCACACACTAGCATCCTGCACTCTGGGCCTGCGAGTCCTCAGTTGCGCGATGACAGCTGACAAAGAGGGAGAAGGCCGCAGAAGCCCAAACCAACATGGCGCCGACACCTAGAATGTGCAAGCACTGCCCTCTGCTAGTCAGAAGCAGATGGCAGCCCCAGGAGAAAAGTGGGCCCGGAAGGTGAGCAGGCAGTGAACAGAGTGGCAAGAAGAAGCACAAACTGGATACCGAGTTGGGACACCAGAGAGGTTTCTGTCCGGGACGGATGTCAGCGAGGAACAGCAGAAGGGACGGCCATTCCCAGCCCGGGGACAGTGCCCTGCCATCTCTACTAGGGGACATTTGGCAACGTCTGGAGACCTTTTTGACTGTCACGGGGTGGGGGCTGCTCCTGGCATCCAGCAGGCAGAAGCCAAGCATGCTGCCAGCTACCCTACAAGGCACAGGACAGGCCCCACAGCAAAGGAGTTTCTGCCCCTTCCCCTCACATCAATAGCACGGGAGCTGAGAAACCTGTCCCAGATAGACACGCAAACAGGTTAGGTGAGGGGGCCTGGCCGGGACAGCACGGGACATGTGCCACCAGCTGCTGCGGCACAGGACCCCGAACATAAATCAGATAAATGGCGGCCCCGTTGGTTCCTAAATGTGTGGCTCAGAGTAGAGTGTTCAGTTAGTGGTGGCTTTCCCGCGGGGGTCCAAAGTCCTCGCCTCCTTTGTTTGCTCCATCAGCACAGCCACAGTAGGGCCCAGGGAGGGACTGAGGGCCGCGGTCACTGGAGGGGGCAAGGAAGGGAAAGGGAAAAGGCGGTGGGAGGGCCTCGGGTAGGGAGGGAAGAGGAAGAGAAAGGAGACACTGCAAGTTTCGGTGTTTCACAACATCACAGAAATACCCAGAAAGCCAGAGGGGGCTTCAGGGAGAACTTCAAATTGAGCAAGGGCTGCAGTTCTCTTCTCAAATTCATGGAAAAATCCCTCTTCGCACCCTCTGATTCAGGAAGACCAGACCTCCCTCACCTCCACGGTGGCCTAGAAACCCCTTTCCCCCTGCCCCCCGCCGCCACCAAGCTTGTGCCATTTTCAGCCCTTTGTGTCCTCCTCCCTGGTGCTTCTCTCACCACCACCCCCCCAACCAGCTCTCCATCTGTTGCTTTCCAGGAACTCTGGTCCCACTCTGGTCCCACCAGAGCCCGAAGCAACTAACGAGATACATACAAAATAATCATAATAACTCCTAACAATCCCATCTGTTAGAAATCAGTGTCTGGATAGAAGTCATCTCCCTTGTGTCACAGGTCAAGAGATCCCTAAGGGTTCTTCTAGTTGAGCCCCAAATCCGAGCTTCCCGGCAGCCCAAGTAACATGAGAATGGGGGTCAGTTTCCCGAGTCCCCTTGCCCAGAGGTCGGAAGCCCACCAATTGCTCTGAGGATACGGAGCTTTACCAGGAACTGGAACCTAAAATATATTTCCCTCTAGGTCTTACAGAGAGCACTGACTGGGGCAGCAGGAACTAGCAACAACAGCATCCCAGAATAAACGCAGCAGCCTGCCTCCTCCAGCCATTTTTCCACAAAGCCCCATCATAAGGGAGGGACATAATAAAGATTTTGTGGCAGCTGAATCATGTGGTCCAAGAGCAACTCAGCTTCATGAGAGCCCGACTCGATTCAGGGATAAGTCTCATCTGGAAGAATGGATGGAATGCATGGCCTTTAAATAACCCCCATGAACTTTATTTCTCTCAACCGAGCTTTTGATAAAACTCGGGCAGCGGGAGGCAGCTGCTGGTCGTAACCGCTGACAAGGGTCTGGCAGGCAGAGTCTGGCGCTGGGCGAGGATGGGGCTGTCGGGTCCTGGCACCTGCAGAAGCATCATTCACAGACTCAGCCACTCGAAGACTCCCCTAGAGGCCCAGAACACGCACAGCTTTCCCGTTTTGCTCTGGCCCGACGTGGAACTGGACTGAGAGGCTGGTGGAAAGAGGGGCAGGATTCGGAGCCCGCAGGGATGCGCACCAGCCCTGAGCCCTGCCTCGCTGGGAGTTATGATTAAGGACAAGGATAGCTTTGCATAATTGTGGGTCCAGGCACAAAGTCATACCCCAGTTCATCGTCACAGCTGAGCTCCTGGGGAGATACTATGACTGTGCTCATTTTACAGACGAAAAAACTGAAGCCCAGAGAGCTTCTCGAGGAAGAATGGAAGCTCTGATGCCCACTCAGGTCTGTCCGGTTCCAGAGCTCACGGGTTTTGTAACCACTACACCGTGAGCCCCTGCCACACAGGATGAGGGACGAAACCTGTGGGAAAAGTGAAATGGCGGTTAATTTGTGGCATGAGAGCACAGGAAACCCATGACTCTCAGAATGCGATTTTGGAGAAAGCTGGAAGCCTACAGCAGCGTGCTGAATTTAAGGCTGTAGGGCTTCTCGAAGCCCTCTCAAGTCCAAGGGCTCCTGGGTTGTAAACATCAGTTGTACCCAAGTTCCTGTACAAGTCAGGGGTGGGGGAGGCAGCGGTGTTGCAGGGAAGGGCCCAGATTAAACAAAGCCTGCCACAACCAAGCTCAAGGCACCCGCCCCCACCCCACCCTGCAAAGCCACTGGGGATCCTACCCACAAGCCAGTGAGCAAGCAGTGTAGAGCCCAGCAGTGTGGGAGCCCAGGGCCAGGCTGCTTGGGGCCCAGGATCCCTGCTGGACACAGCCCTCTGTGTATCCTGTCACATCCTGGGAAGTCAGCAGGTGGGAACATCCAGGAAAAAATAGAACCCGTGAAGCTGTCTTCCCAGCAGGTAGCTCTGTGAGCTCAGGGCGGGAAAGCCCCATCTCCTTCCACTGGACACACTGACCTTCTTTAGAAGGTCTCTTTAGACTGGAGTCAGGAGTGTCTAGACCACAGGAAAGCTTTTCCCATCAGTGAGCAACATGCTGACAAGCAGGGCTTCGGCTCAGCCCCGTGAAATCTGATGACTCAGGAGGACGTGCTGTCTCTCCACAGGCTTGTTTGCCGGGCGCTGGCACTGGGCCCTCTCCGGGCCAGGTGTGAGGGTAGGGAGAGAAGCCAGGCCCAGACCTTACCCTCAAAGGGTTTACAGTCTAGAAGAGGGCACAGATGTGGAAACACCTCAATGTGTCTTCGTGAGAAAACTGAAAAAAGGAAGGAAGTGAGGTAAGGAGGGATAAACATACAAAATAGATCAAGAATCTAACCACTTCTTCCCCTGCCCCCGCTCACTGTCACCACCTTTGTCTCTCCATTAGCCCAGATTATTGCAGCGGGGTCCCCAGCACTGCAGGCCTGCTCCTACCCACAGGGGTTTGGGACTTGCTGCTCCCGTTGCCCTCAGACAGGTGTCCTTATGATTCAGCATCTTTGTGTCTCTGTCCAAATGTCCCTTCTCAGGGAGGCTTCCCTCTCATCAAGGCCACCCAGTCACAGTTCACAAGGCTCCTCTCTCTGCCAGCTCACAAATGTTGTGGTAGGTGCAGTCCAGGTGGTTTCTCTCACAAACTCCTCACAGCCTGCTCTCCTGAGGCCTTCAGGACAGGTTTCCCGTTGGCCTCGGCTAGAGACTGTTTTCATAGCCCTTGACCTTACTAATGGTCAGCCAGTGCCCTGGGATCAATCCTGGCTCCTTCAACTTACTTACCTGGAGCTGGTCCTCTCCTGCATGGGGGGGTGGGAAATTCCAGCAGAGCCTGGGTGCACCCTGCCCCCTTGACCGAGCTTAGTTAGCCCTGACCTACTGTAGCAGGCCTGGGTAACTGGTCACCAAACTCATGTCCTCCTCTTCCTGGGCACCGAGCTGGACTACACTTCTACCTCCTTCGTCATCAAGGGTGGCCAAAGGAATGTGAGCAGAAGCCATGCGTCTCTCCTCTGGGCTGAGGACATTAAGAAACACACGTGCCTCGTCTACCTCTCTTTCCCCTGCTGCCGCGATCACGTGGCCTAGGAGATGGTGGAGTCCTGGGGACAGAAGGAGCTGGAGTGCCCGGATCTCCCCTTGGAGGCAGGCTGCCTGCCAGTCAGAGTACCCACCTTGGACTTCATGTGAGTAAAGACTAAACCTTGTGACCAGCCTGCGTGTTGGAGTTTGGCTCCTCTATGAATTTAGTGTTTAACGGCCCATCTCTCTAGGGACTGTAGGCCTGCCCTCACGCCAGCGCTTCCTCATCCCCTTTCCCCCACCCCTCCTTTTCCCACCTGAACTTTGTCCTCTCTTCCTGCCCCATCCCAGGCCTCCAGGGATGACTGAGCCGCTGATGAGTGAACGCTTCTGCTGCTGTGGAAGGCAGCCTGGCAATGCGGGAAGGCTCTTCCCATGACCTTTCTGGAAGCCTGGATCCAACAGCGTGTGACTTTGGGCGAGACTCCAGCCTTACCGAGATTCAATTTCCCCATCCTTAAAATGGGAACAGTAGCCTCTGGCCAGGCCACCTCACAGAGGGAAAGGCGGGAAGCCCCGACCTACAGGAGCAGCTACTCTGAGCGGGGCTCTACATTACCTCACGTTTAGTACTGAGGTAGGGAAACTGAGGCACACAGAGGTTTCAAAGTAACCTGCTTAAGTTCACCCAGTTAGGTAAGTAGTTGCCCCCACTCCTGACTTGGTCCTCCCCATCTTCTCTCCCTTGTGCGTGGCACCACCACCCACACAGGAGCTCAAATCCGAGAACTCAGGTTATGGCTGACTCCTTGCTTGCCCGCATCTCCCAAAGCCCAGTTACTTTACCCCTTGCCTCCCCAGATAGCTGCCCGATCCAGCCCTTCCTTCCATGTCTGCAGCCACCAGTCTGGTCCCAGACCTCTGCACGCCTCTCCTGGGCCCCTGCGTTAACCCCCTCAGTGGTCTCACCCTCCACGAGCATCTTCTAGAAATGTAAATCTGACCACGCCAAATCCCAGGTTAAGAGAGCTCAGTGGCTTCCTACTGCTCCTGTGACAAAACCTTGCTGCGGTCCAGTCAGCAGGAGAGAGCCAGCCTCATCTTGAATGCCATCTGCCCACCCATCTCCTCTCCATTCCAGTCAGGGCAGACTTCTAGTTCCCTGAACACTCACCAACTCCCTCCTTGGTGGGAGCGGCCTTTGCATACACTGTTCCTTCTGTGTGCGATACTTTTCCTTCCCCACTTCACCTAGTGTAGTCTTGGTCACCCTTCATGTCTCAGGTCCAGTGTCACTTCTTTGAAAACTTGTCTCTGACCTCCTCGACAAGGTGACATCCCCTTATAGCCCTCAACACCGTTACTAATTTCGGTCTATTTGAGCTGTTATTTGGTGAACATGCGTCCCCTTTCCATGACTTTAAACTCTGTGAGGACAGGAACGGTGGCCATTTTGCTCACCATTGAAACCAGTGCCTGCACTGTGTCTGACCCATAGCAGAACTTCTGTATTGGCCAAGTGAGGCAATCCGTGAAAGTGGAACTTGAAATCCAAGTGCGCCTGGCTCCTCGCTCACCAACTTTGTGAGGAATTGTATTCGTCTGCTCAGGCCACCATAGCAAGAGACCGCAGACTAGGTGGCTTAACCAACAGGAATGTATTCTGTCATAGTTCTAGAGGCTGGAAGGCCCAAGTTAAGGTGCTGGCAGATGTGGCTTCCAGTGAGATCTGTCTCCTCAGCTTGCAAACACACATTCTTGCTGGGCCCTCATGTAGCCTTCTCTGTGTGCACCCAAGGAGAGAGGGAGAAATCTGTTGTCTTTCTTATAAAGACACCAGGAGGGGCATCCGGGTGGTTCAGTTGTTAGGCATCTGCCTTCAGCTCAGGTCATGATCCCGGGATCCTGGGATCGAACCCCACATCCAGCTCCCTGCTCAGCAGAAAGCCTGCTTCTCCCTATCCCACTCCGTTTGCCTGTGTTCCCTCTCTCTTGCTGTGTCTCTCTCTGTCAAATAAATAAATAAATACTCTAAAAAAAAAAAAAGACCCCAGTACTGTTAGAGAAGGCCCACCCTTGTGACCCCATTTAATCTTAATTAACTCCTTCAAGGCCCCATCTCAAATACAGTCCCATGGTCAGTTAAGTCTTCAACATTTAGGGGGACACAATTCAGTTCATAATACTCTGCCATCTCGCCCCCCAAATTCACATCGTTCTCCCGTGCAAAATACATTCACTCTGCGATGCCTGGGTGGCTCAGCTGTTAGGTGTCTGCCTTCGGCTCAGGTCATGATCCCAGGGTCCGGCGATCGAGCCCAGCATCGGGCTCCCTGCTTCGCGGGGAGTTTGCTTCTCCCTCTGCCTGCTGCTCCCCCTGCTTGTGCTCTCTCTCTCTGACAAATAAAAAATAAATGAAATCTTTAAAAAGAAATACATTCACCCTATTCAACAGCCCCAAAGTTGACCCATCCATCATCAAGTCAGAAGTCTCCCTAAATGTCATCTAAATCAGGGTTGGGTGAGGCTGAGGTATGATTCATCCCAAAGAAGAATTCCTCTCCAGCTTCGAACCTGTGAGACCAGACATGTTCCGTGCTTCAGGATCACAATGGTGGGACAGGCAAAAGACAGACATTCCCACCCAAAAGGGAAAATTGAGAAGAAGGAAGGGTACCAAGCAAGTCCGAAACCACAGGCAAATTCTATTTGATCTTAAGGCTCCAGGTCAAACTTGTTTAGTTCATTGCTCTGCCCTCTGTGCAGCAGCATTACCTCTGTGGCCCTCAGCAGTGACCCTGCCCCCTCCGCTCTGGGCGGGCCTCCTGGCCCCCTCACTCTGAGGAGGGGCCCCTCACCCTGAAGCCAGGAGATAGTGGCATCCCCTGGACTTATGGTTGGAGTGACAGCTCTTATGATCTCTGAATAGCTTTCATGGTCTCTTTTCCCTCTTCTGGAAGGACAACCATGTTTGAGGCTGGATCTTCTAGTGCCCTGACCTGCAATCCAGAAATCTGAGCGGCTTCCTTCATTCCATTTCCTCTGGCCCCTTCTGTCCCCACTGGCTGTGCCTTGCTGCCATAGTCCCAATCCTATTCCTGGCTTCAGCAGAGGCGGCTGATTAATTCGTGGGTCATCTTTACCAGCCAAATCTTTGGTGTTTCTCCAGAACACGCTTTCTCATGTTTTGCAATATGGATAGGCTGAGGATTTTCCAAATCTTCAAGTTCTGGTTTCCTTTTGCTGAAAAAATTCTTTCAATTCCTCCCCCCACACCCCCCACCCCCATCTCTCACATTTTATTATCAGTGGTAAGGAGGGACCAGGCTGCCCTTCTAACACTTTGCTTAGAAAAAAAAATACTCTGCTAACTATCCAAGGGTGACACTCACAAGATCTGCCTTCCGCAAAACCCGGGAATACAAGTCAGCCAAATCCTTTGCTACTTTGTAACAAGGATTGCCTTTCCTTCTGCTTCCAAGAGCACCTTGGGCATTTCCACCTGAGATCTTACCAGAAGCATCTCTACTAGTCATACTCCATCAACGTGCTAGTTACCACAATGCTGTATTCTCTGCAGTTTTTCCCCCTTCCTAAGCCCTCGTCAGAATGGACTTTGATGTCCATATTCCTGCCAAATGTCCCCTCAAGGTGATTAGGATTTTTCTAGCATGGGCCTCAAAACTCTTTCAGCCTCTCCTTATCACCCAGTTCTAACGCCGTGTCCACATTTTTAGCTATTTGTTATAGCAACACCTGTTCTTGCTATTGTACTTTCCACGATTCTCAAAAACAACAACAAAACAAAATAAAACAAAAACCAAAACCAATAGGATCTCTCTAACTATATCTACCCCTAAAGAAATATATTAAAAGGAATCAACTTACAGAGAGACTAGCAAGTCTAGAACCTGCAGAGCTGCTGTCCTTGTTCAAGTCTGAAGGCCCAGCAAGCTGGCGTAGAAGCACGAAAAGCCAATGCCCCACTTCCAAAACTGTCAGGCAAGAGAATTCTCTCCTCCTCCGGGGAAGGTCAGCCTTTGGTTCTATGTAAGTCTTCTACTGACTGGTCCCTCCCACTATGGAGGACAATCTACTTTACTGGTCTACAGATTTCATTCAAAAATACTTTCATAGAAACACCCAGAATAATGTTTGACCTACCATCTGGGGACTCCATGGCCCCCAGTCAAATGGACACATATAATTAGTCATTCCAAGAATCACAGCAGGTGGTACGTGTGATCAAGTTTCCATGAGTGTACAGGACCAGCGCAAGGGACTAGCACTAGAGCCAACACTGTGGTTTGCCATTCCCTCATTCCATACCCATTTATTACACACCTACTATAAGCATCTCAGTTATCTATTGCAATGTAACAAACTACCCCAAAACTTGGTGGCTGAAAACTGAAACAGTTTATTTATTTCTCATGATTTTGTGGGTCAGGAATTTGGGCCGGGCTCTGTGGGATGGTTCTTCTCAGCTGGCCTCGACTGGAAAGTTCAAGAAGACCCTCTAAAGAGTCTGGTGCCTCAGCTCCTCCACGAGGCTGCTCTCTCTCCAAGTACTCTACCATCATTCATCTGTCTACCCACGCTTCTTTACAACTGGATGGCTAGCTTCCCCAAGAATGTTCCAAGAGTGGGGTGCCTGAGTGGCTCAGTTGGTTAAGCGACTGCCTTTGGCTCAAGAGAACAAGCCCCAAGAGGAGAAGCAAGCATTGATCAGATCTATGCTTGCATCACACTTCTAATGTCACATGGGCCAAAGCAAGTCACATGCCCAAGCAAGTCACATGTGGGGTCCCCCGATGTCACAGTCTACCAACAGAGGAGAGAACACCAGTCCTGACTCTTGTCCTCAAAGATCTCACCATCCAGCACTGCTTATTGTGACAAGCAAGCCCCGGAGGGAATTCCTGGCATCTCTGAGTAGAGAGAGCCCCATTTTGTACTGGTCAATGCTTCCAACATCATATGATGCTAAGAGCATTCATAGTTTTATCACTTTTCATGTGCATATTTTTTCCAAATGCATTTTACAGGAAAATATTGCTAATTTTGTATGTTTGTGGGAGGATGTTTTATTACATTCCTTGACATACTAATGTTGCCAGAAGACAGTTTTGGAAATGCTGGCCTGGTGACTCCCAGTAGGGAGGCCCACAGACACGGGTAGGGGGCCCCTGGTGGATTGGAGACAGCATGTGCCAGAGGGCAAGAAGGCCCAGGTTTTCTGTGGGACCATCTGTTTCGCATCTATGGCCATGAGTCATGGGAGGAAAGAGTTCAGGGAGCATCATTCCTGTAGCACTCAAATATGGGCTGGAACGCCACCTGTCAGGTGACTCCAGCATGTCCTACTGGGTCGCCCTGTGCCCTCAGTACACCTGGCACCAGAGGGGGTCACATGTTTCACACACCAAACAACACCCATCCCATTACATGTGACCTCACTTCAGAATGACTGGAACATCAGGTGGCAGTTCTCGAGAGCTCGAAAGTTCCATTGCAGAGGCTGGTCTCCGAGGCAGTGTGTGAGAGAGGCTCCCAGCACCCACCAGAGCAAGCGGGGCCACTGGCTAGCAGACCAAACTTGCTCAGGTTGTCTGCAGCAGAATCCCCAGGGGCTTCTAGAAAATTCCAGTGTATTCAGCTGGAAGGAAACACAGGAATCTGCAATCTTAACCTCCACCATGGGTCACGGGGTGCTGGTCCCTCACCCGATTTAGAGTTGCCCTATGGTTATTTCTGAAAAGTCCCCATGGGGTGGGAACAGGAGAGATCCACCAACCCCAAGATGGGGCCCTTGCTGGTGTCTATTGCAGGGAGGACACAGGTGGCTGGCAGCCAGAAGTTCAAGTGGCCTCACACACCACATGGACTTTTTATTTTCAGATGCTCGAGATATATATATATTTCTCTTGCAAGTTCAGAGACAACTTGCCTCTACAGGTTTCCTTCTCAGAACAATCCCCAGAGATTAAATCTGTTTTGAGTTGTATTTTGAGAAAAAGAGGAAATTGGATCCTGGTTTTGGGTGGGAGGAGGGGTGAGGGGAGGAGAAGGGAAGTTCAGAAAGAAGGCAAAAGGCGCAGATTTCCAGAAAGTTCCTCATGCTTCCCCCTCCCTCACCTCTGCCTTTTTTCCCTAAGCACTCTTACCCTATCTAAGATAAAGCCCGGCTCTGGCTTAGACACACCCTCCTCCTTCCCAACCTCCCTCCAAAGGTGCCCACAGCTCTCAGAACTAGGGCCTGGCAGAGAAAGCCACACAGAGAAAGACAAACACTGCATGGTCTCACTTATAGGTAGAATCTGAAGAAAAACAAACAAAAACAAAACCAGAACTCATAGAAACATGGGAGAGATCTTTCTTACCACAAGAAAAAAAATATGCAGCTATGTAAGGTAATGAGTATCAACTAGCCCTATTGTCATAGCCATTCTGCAATCTATCCAGATTTCAAATCACTGGGTGCAACTTAAACTTAAACACAGCGTGAAACTAATACAATTATATCTCACTCAAACTGGAGAAAAATAAAAATAATAAAAGCTTCGATTCACAGGGAGTTCAAGATTAATTCTAGAGTCAAATATCTGGAATGTAGATATTCTGGATTAGCTCAGCCTTATGCTTTAACAATCAGTCACACTGAGCCTAGCATTGATATCCTCTGAGAAGGCCTTATTTATGAGTTCCAAACTGTCCTCATGATAATGTCCTAATTCCTGTGACAATACTCTTAGCAAGTTGCTTATGTACCTTCACATCTGCGTTTGTGTTTGTATTGGGTGAGTCCTTGCCACACTTAAAAAAAAAAGAAAGAAAGAAAGAAAGAAAGAAAGAAAGAAAGAACGAACGAACCAGGGCTTGCAGCTCAGC